GGGGGGGGGGGGGGGGGGGGGGGGGGGGGGGGGGGGGTACAAGGCAGCAACAGCTGGTCAGCCTATTGGGGGTTTGGTCGCTACGGTTGAGGGAGGATGATTTTCTCGAGGATGCGCAGTTTTCGCTAAGGAAAAAAACAAACTTGTGTGCATTGAATACTGTTCGTTAGCTTTCGGGCCTTGCAATAATCGAAACGAAGCTTCCTGCTGTTGCCTAAGCCTATCAAACCAAAGCACCTTGTTCGTGGGTCGCTCGAGTGATGATCCCAAACAAAACAAATCGAGAGACGTCTCCCCCCGCCCCCCCCTTGCCCCGCCGCCCCAGCAAATGGTAGTTCTTCGTCCCGTTCACGAAACCCTTGAGCCACAAGGCTGTGGCAGGAACTTGAGCAGAGGGACGGGCTATTCCAACTTCAGGGACAAGACAGTAAAGATGCCCGATTCCCGTGTGTGCAGACGACAAGTAGGCAACCCAAAACAAACGGCTTTCTGACGGGATGATGACAAAAAAAAAACACACACACACACACCCTAACCGACCTCAGCTGCGCTCCGAGCATACTCCATGTGCGACTCTGCCGCCTTCCGCAAGAGCCCGAGGCGGTGAGGAGTCGGCCTCCTGTCCCCCTCGTCCTCCATCGACAGCACCCAGTCCTTGGCCGCGCTTGACAGGGAGCGCACGCAGGCAGTCCTCCCGTGGAGGAACTTTCTCACCTGAGCGGGCTCGTAGGTGGCCCACATCTCACCTGTTTGGCGGGGTCCGTATGTCGAAGGGAAGGTAGGAGGATATGGGGCAACATACACATTGGGCAGGGAAGCAATCGTGACAACACCAAGAAGAGAGGCGTCGCGTGTGGGTGCGGGTCTCCATCTATCATTGCCGTCATTTTCTTCACGTTAGGAACAGTTCCCGTATCTGGTCAGAGCCTTCCACTATACCATCCGTACCGGTCCAACTGACGCGCTCGCCTTGTTTGGTCACACGCCAACCAACTGACCCTAATCCTGACCCTAACCCCACCCCAAGAGGGTACCACACACTCTACAAGAGCAACGGAAACAAAAACATAAAACACGATAATCGGATGAACAGGTGAGAATGTCAGTCTCAGCAGCGCCAATCAGCAGGAACTATGCGTGGGTATTTGGATTGGCTCTTGTCGAAAAGGTGATGAAGAGCACCATTGATACGGTGAGCCTCACCAACGGAAGATGATGTTTTAGGTGCTGGGGCTACGAGGTTCGGGAAATACTGAGCTCGTGCAAGTCGAGAGGAAGGATGGATGGCGTTTTTTATCACGAGGGCACTACAAGTTTGATTTAGGAGGAGTGAATAGCGACGAAGGCCAACCTACTGCGATAAGAAAGACAGAGGTAACAACCTACCCGACGCATGTCGGGATACGCGCTGGAAATGTAGGAATATTTTCGCCCTCAACAACGGATGCTTAGGAGGAACACCAAAGCATTATTGTACCTGTCATCTTGAATACCGCGAGCTGGAGAGCCATCTGCACGAAGCCGTCGGGGCTGATCCTGAACTTCTTGATGGTGTTCGCGCCGTAGCCTGTGAACTCCAGAACTTCCATCTGAAAAAACGACAAAAGGACCACCAACACATTGCGGGAGTAGCAAGGTTTGGTGGATGATTGTTTCAAAACTGATTTGCTCCCGACAATATTGGATACTTCTAATACAAGTAGCAGGAGACGGAAAATCTTTGCAGTACCGACCAGAACACACCAACAATTTCGTGTCGAACCCTTCACCGGTGTATGTAGCAACCGCAACAGCAGCAACAACAACAACAGCCAACACAGCAGTGTCTCCGTACGTTTCACTCGCCTCGTGTTGGTTGACCAGTCGATCGAAGGCAACCTCCGCGGAGGCGATTGCTCTAAGAGAAGCGGGCGATAGGGCGATATCCAGGGGGCGGGGTGGGGTGACGGCAACGGGAGACCAAGACTCGGGAAAGGAATCACTTCCCGCTGAAGAATCGGCTGAAAATCTCATCGTTTTCTTCATCATGAAATCGGCCAGGCGGAGGGTCTGCAGAAAAAGCGCGACGGGATTTAGCGATCCTTTCAGTGGTCGGCTCAAGGGAAACAAGTTTCGTGTTGATTTTTTAAGTATCATGTACTCAACGGGTGGAAAGCTCGACGTTACGACACGACGAGGGTTGCAAACCAATCTTAGGTTTAAGTTTAAAGTCAATCCGTCAGGATCGGTCTCGAAGATTCGAATCGTGCAAACGGTAAGTGTAATCACCTGCATGTCAAAGGTACCTTCAACCGCGCAAAAATACGACCTCTACTGCTGTACATGCCTACCAAGGACCTGTGCAACAGACCAAAGGCCCTGACCTCGTCGCCGAATATCGCCTCCCGAAAACTCATATTTTAATTCTGCCTACATTTCGCCGAAAACGGGTTGGGGGTTCTTCAACTCCCTAGTTCTTCCCATGACTCCCAACACAGTATCTTTTCCATTACCCCCCACCCTGTGCACGAAAATTGCGCCCCCCAACGCGAGGCCAAAGAACACCCAGCCACGCCACACTTGAACATGATCACGCCATCCCCGCCTGGAGAGGGGTTCGTGGCCAATGGTCAAACGACGGAGGCAAGCAATAACAACAGAGCATGCCCCCACCCCCCCCCTCACCGGCATTCCGTCCATCATGGAGTGCTCGCCGACCAGCCCGGCCTTCCCGTTCCGGAACACCACGATCTGCACCGACTTGTCGAAGTGCCGGTTCCGCCCGTCCCCGTGCCACAGCGCGCGCGCCACGTCGGACCTCGTCTGGGGCGCATGGTCATCCAGGCACACGGTCAGCGCCGCCGCCTCCGCCCTCTCCAATAGCTCTTCGTTACCGTCCGCTACCAGCTGCTCCCTAGCTTTTGACCACTCGGGTCTACCCCAGGAGGTCAGCACGCCTACGGGCCTGGACGGCGGTGCGGACTCGGAGGCAGCCGGGTCGGCCAGGTCGACGACGGCCTGCAGCTGCAGCTGGATGTCTCGGTGGGACAAGGGCTGCCCCTCAGCGTCGGTGACGTGTACGACGAAGAAGCGGTTGCGGCGGATGACCAGGATGTGGTGGTTACCCCCAGCAGGGTAGAGCCGGACCCGGTCCTCGGCTTCTCCCGGCACCCGGCATGCGTTGAACCTTCAGCGGTACCGGTTTGAGACGCAAGGAGGAACGAAACGTGAGCTCGGGACTGGGTTGGGTTGGAACAACATTCTTAACTGTAGTCGGGACGGGCTAATGATAAAACTATTCATACTACATGTACGCATCTCACGAGCAGGTGCTGCTGCCGCACGTGCCGTCGCATGTCGAGGGAGGGCCTAAAGGGGGAACATGATGACTTCTGCTTGGCACGCGCCCGATTCTCACATATACTTGTAGGCCGTGGAGCACAGAGGGACCCCCTTCTTGCCAACCTTCTCAGGGGGCAGGCGGCCGGTGAAAACGGCACGCCGAAACAAGAGCGCGGCGTGAATGAGCGCGGCGGCGCGGCCCGTCTGCGTCCGTTCCACGGCCGCTCTCGGGCTGTCCGAGAAGTGGTAGAAGTACGACACGAAGAACACCGTGGGCCCTCGGTCGTGCAGGTAGCCTAGTTTGTTCCACCACTCTGCAAGCCAACTCGAGTCGTGGCGATCTATCGAGCGTCGGGCAAGCCGCGCTTGCAGCCTTTCTCCCTTTTAGGGTTAGGGTTAGGGTTGGAGAAAACACACATTTGCATACGTAGCTTTGGTTAGGGTTCGCGTACATTACGTGGCTGTAAGTTTAGTTAGGGTTCGTGTACTTTATGGAGTACACGAGGCTTGAGAGTTTAATCTACAGCTACTGGAATTGAAGCCACACGTTAGGATGGAGAGGGACAAGTACCACGCCGCTTGCAGTCCTTACGTCGCCCATCGTGTCTTAGATGTAACTAGACCCGCTGGGAGCCAGCTTCACGATCCAGAGCGCGGAGGGATTGGTATCAATTCTGACAAGAACATGCTTAGAAGAATCTATTTACGGAATTCAGCAGGTCCTTCTTCCTGTGTGCAGCTGGATAACAGCAGCAATGAGAAATACGGCAGCATTGGAAGCCTCCCCTCACCAATCCCCCTGGACGAAGAAACTCTCGAGCAGCTGTAGCAGTCGCCTTGTACTCCTCCTCGTCCGCCAGAGGTTCAATCGAAACCAAGTATCTCGCGAAGGTTTCCTCTAACGTCGGCAGGGGCAGCCGCGGCAGGGAGTCCTGGAGGCTGTACAGGGGAAGCACTGACGATCCACCTTCCATGAACTTTTCCGTCCGGTAGTCGCCGTCCGTCTCGTGGAATGGGCTAGCACGTCCCATAGCTGCCAATCTCTTTCTTTGCGTGCCTCCTCGCCGTGATTGCCCCTGCAGGTTCAAGAACACGCCTTTGTAGACTCTCGAGGGAGATACAGCCCAGCGCGCAGTAGGCCCCAGAAAACTGATGGAAGAGGCTTGAGCTGGATCTGTAGCCACAATCTTGCTCTTCCTCGAACAGCCAGTGCCACAATACCGCACACGATTCTCTTCTCTTCCGCCACTCTGCATCTCTGCCTACTTGCCCCCCCCCACCCCCCACAGAAAAAAGTCATGCCGCCTTTGGGTTCAGTGTTCGGGCAGGTTGCTGTTCGGCGTCGTAACGGCCTACCAAACTCTCCGCATCCTACCCGCAAGCCTACAAGCAGCTTCTGCTGCTGGGCACAGGCTACCTTTCCTGGTCATGCGTCTCTTTTGCTAGTTTTGAGCTGGGAACATAATCACAGAAGGCACCCGCGTTAGTTGGAACGGTACTCATGTTTGAAGATACTGAGCAGCTGAGACCAGAGCGGAAGAACAACAGGCCTGGAAGAACAAACGCTTAACATGCGGCGGCGAGAAGTAGGAAGTTGGTTGGGTCTTCTCCTCCTCCTACTGTTTGCCTGCTTGGTGAGCGATGTCGTTATCGCTGTCAACGCTGATGACGACGACTTGGTCATGGCCAATGGGGCCGCGGTGAACATTGCCACCATCTTCGGGTTGTCTGGAGGACTGCTCCTCCTCCTGTATATATTGCTCAAGGTGGGAGCTTCCCCAAATCTCTACATGATGGAGGGCATGCCAGAAGGCTGGCCTTCTTGTTCTCCATGCATCATGCACTAGACTTGTTGCCCACCTTCACTTCGCGTGCACGGCGGTTCAGTATCCAATACAAGTACACCCACAAGCTGTCTTTTTGTGTGCATATGATTCAGTACAGTGTGGTCTACGTACATAGGCCCACCGTACAGTCCAGTCCAGATGAGGATACATACATACACAGCTGGCAAGGTATCTCGCGCTGTACGTACGCGACTGTTCCGGACGGACGGAGCATAAAGTCGTGGTCCCGGTTTAGCGTTCCATAGTGTCACAAAACGTTATGACTAATATTGAGGGCATCGCCGCTAAACCGGATTGGCAGTTATTCGGTAGTTTGACTGTACCGAGGTGCAGCCGTGCCACGAGATTGTGAAACCGCTATTGTTCAGTATCCCGCCAAACAGGGAACCGCTGAACCGGGACCATAACTGAGGTTGTGACTAAAGTCGCATCCAATTCGGTACATCAATATCCCACAGAACAACGTAAACAGGTATGCACGTCATAGGGGTAACACTACACTCTCCAACTGGCGGTGTTGAACTTTCTCTTACGAAAATAATATTACTTCTCTGTCGTCCTTGTTCGGTCCTGCGAAGTACGTGGAGAGAGTTGACAAGAATGTGCAAGAGGAAATCGATGACCTACGTCGCAAGCGTGCTGCCTCGAAGGACATGTTCCGGGAACTCAATGGGTAGGTTTTGAGAGCGATGAATCTCCAGGAATGTTCCATCCCTTCGGGTGACACACCGTGATACAGTGTCCAACTTAACAAAAGATGACTCCAACTTCGCACAACTTGTCGATAGACACCATGTTTAGACGCAGTCAGTATATCCTTGGGTAGTAAAAATCGTGCTCTCTGCGATAACAAACACAAGAGAAGAGCTCAGGTTCTATAAATAGGTGGTGCCTCATCAGGATCTTTGTCTCCAGATTCCCCTGTGCAACATTCGCAAGACCAAAATAACATTCCAACCCGGGTCACATACCAACTCTTTGGCTGATGGATCAGGTACACGTGGGACTATGTGATGGTTTTCGAAGTCAGGGCCGAGGACAAGGAACTGACATCCTACCAGCGGAAGTTCTCGATGAAGGAGATTTTGACGAGACTCAACGCTGGCGGTGAGAGCGAAACTGAATTATTCTATTGTAACTTGGATTGTGTACCAATGGTTTGGATTGAGTTGCATTGTTCGTGAGGTGCTTTCTCCAAACTATGATCGGAGAAGCCGCCCAATAAGTCCGGACAAGGCTCCAAACGTACATACGGAGTGCGTCAAGTAGGACACCCATAAAAATAGGTACCAGACCAAGGGCATCGCCGAAACGTAACGCTCTCAGTATTCTCGGTACACTTTGGCGGACATATGCTGCATTCCTCGTCATGGCAACGCGGATACCCTCTTGCACGCTGCTCTACGAAGGGTACAATCTCCACCAAACCACCCGCCTCTAGACAGAATGTAAGCTGTTTGCAGACACTACGCAGCGCTCGACGGCATCAAATGAACGGGTCAATTTCAAAAACAGCAGACATATAGAGTTTTCTCCTTGTCATCGAAACAAGCCTCTGAACTCCATCAACATCCCACATATATTCCTACCTGTAACGTCCTACCTGATTCAACCTGCTTATCACTTTGCTACCTCGTACCTCTGCGTGCAGGGATCGAAACACGCATGTTCTACTCCGTGCAGCGTGATGAGGTGTATTGCAAAATCCGATGCCCGTTGGAACGGCTCCAACGTGAAGCGGTGAGTCTTGTCGCAACGTTGTCGGCAAAACCAGCATGTTCTTTGCTGCTGAAGCCGTTCGAACTACGACCACGCCATGATTTTATCCGGAGTGACAGAGCCACGGTTGACGTTGCTGGAAATGTTCCACTTAGACGAATGCTGTGCGAGCTCGCAACTTTCAACTTAGATGCGGATTCGGCGTGCTTTGGTGGACCCTTATTTCAATGAGTTTCAATGCGTTTACAGCTGATACATAGATATTGTTAATTCATTTTTGAAGAGGGATAGTTGGCCGACCAAGCGAAGGCCCGACACAAACGAGGAGGGGGGTCATCACGAGCTCGGGAAATAAGGAGCCATCCAAGATCCCGTCGATCGTCTCATCGCACTATCATGAAGGGAGTATCCTTCCAACGACCACGAAGTTTAGGTGGCGGATAGAACACAAAGATCGGCGTTTAGTGGATTTTTCCCCCAGTACAACGGTATGATGGTGACTGGATAATGATAACTCTCCCATGTGGCCGCCTCCTCCGTGCACCTGGTCGTGACCGTGAGTAGGACCGCGTCGGGTACAAGATTTTGCTCGACGCCAACAACCTACGGAGTACTTGCCAGCATGGCCGACCGGGGAAATGGGCGTCCATCGTTATCCAGGACGAGTACAACGAATCACCGTACGAGGCGTACGAGTACATCTACGCGCCGGTGTGTGTGTTTTTTTTTTGTTATGTTTGGTTGTCTGTATGCTGATAATTCAGCGTTGACGTACGGGTGGCTCTGTTGCGGAATAGGAAGAGCTTGTGCGCAAGCTCTAAGAAGGTAGTTAGCAGTGCAACATATGAGTTGGGTGTATTTCGCGCGATGATGAGTCTAGTGTTGTACAGAATCGCAGCCCCGGAGGCAAGAACGAAATTGAGGGCCTTCGTCACCTAGAACTCATTCGTCACTATGATTCCTGCAGGTAGAATGGGTTAGAACCATGCATTTTTGTATGCCTACGATCACACGGCCTTGGCATCCACTGAAGCATTCGATTGTCGGCTAGCCATGATGCCAAAGCCAGCATGACAGGCACATTGTTTAGCCAACACTGTCGTAGCTCCGAATACACGTTCTCTCCCGTGAAGAAGGTAATTATCAGAGTGGGATGCAAACCTGTGCTTATAATCCGGTTTTGTTGCTATTTCATGCAGCAGACCAGATGAGACGACGGCTGTTTCTGTGTTGGTTGCACGTTGCTCTCCTTTCCTTCCACGCGTCACTCACGGATTTAGCTGCGCATACAGCGTTTCTTCTCTTCCCCGGCGTTCCATGTTCAAAGCACGGCAGGGTTACAGATTTGACACAACAGGCAGCGTTACGTGTTCCACACAAAAGCAGGGTCAGTCGCAGATGAGACGTAAAACTGGTGTTTGGTGCAGTTTCATTGAACTCTGTCCGGATGTACGCTCTTTTCGACTGCAGTACACAGTGGACAGGCCAGAACTGGAGAGCTTATACAAGAAGCACGGTGGCCTAGAACGCGACGCGATGATGATCCCTTTCCGGGGAACTGACAGATTGAAACTCCTGTACAGCATCCTCGTCGCCAAGACAGCAGACTCGGGGTGCAACCTCGACATCCTCCGGCTAGTCAAGTCCAAGTGCCTGTTGGCCTTCTTCCCTCTCCATGACAAGGTTGAGCTGCGGGCCCTTCAGCGGAAGTGAGTACCAGTACTATTCTTCTCATATCGTGGGTCGGGCTACCTCTCTCGCTAGGACTTTGACGCATTATCTCATGAGACGTGTTCGGCTCTAAGCGACGGAACTCTTCGTGATGATTCCACCAAAAACTGTTGTGTGTGTGGTCGTCGTTTCTCTGTGGCATAGCCTAAAGGGTGAATGGGCACGTACGACAGCGACAGTGATGATTTGTCACTGAGAATCTCGAAGGATGTGGGCTTGTTGAGACGTGACATCACCTTTCGGCCGGAGACATATCCTGGAGGACAAAACGACAAAAAATACCATGCTGGACGTTGTTGCACAGTGCCTTAATCTGCTGGACCCATGCATTCCCAGCCTGCGTATACGGTGGCCGTTCCGCAACACCGACATGAGTATTTTTTCTTGCATCTCCTCTTGCGATCAAGCGTTTTCGGGCCAATGCCGCAAACACCAGCGCACTGTGATAGCTGCACCAACATGGCACAACACCAAACACAACATGCATGAGATGTACCGCGTGTCTACGGAACACTCATCACTTTCACACAACGCGCCGACAAACAGCGATTACAACCGACTGGAACAACCACAGGTGGCTGCAGTACTTTCGCCCTCCTTGGAAAGAGCCAATCGACGACGTCAAGAACTACTTCGGCGAGAAAATAGGGCTCTACTTTCTCTGGCTGGGGCACTACACCACCTGGTGAGTCAGTCACCTAGAAAGTGGGTAAGACCGAAGAGAGAAGGTTCGGGAGGCCGGAGAGGGCAGCTTTTCGATACGTTCTACGAGATACAGGAGGCACCGACTGGGGGGGGCGTCAACAGCAATGCACTGTTGCTGACTGGCGTACGTGAGGGAAGACTTTTCGCTGCAGTTGGCTCATACCGCCGCTCTTTGGACACAGGGTACCTTTACGACCAGGCCAAGGCCGGTCAGGCCAACCTCACGTTTCTGCTCGGGCTTGCATACAAGCAGTTCAGCACTTGTCACGTGCTATGATGCGTTGAAGTAGGTAGGACGGACACAGCGTGATTCACGGTACACAGCGTTGACGGTTGGTTGTCATTTCATTTCGCCACGGCAACATCAAGGTTGATTCCGGCCAGCATCGTCGGGGTCATGGCTTGGGTGCACGTGGCCTTGAGCGGGAATGACCCGAACGCGCTCGGCTCGGCGCTCTTCTCCATTTTCATCGGGTTGTGGACAACGTGAGTATCGAAGTATCTGTTGGGTGTACAGTACTGTGCACGTGCCACTCGTCTCATTCCTTTGCTTGTCAACCTCCTCCAACCCACACTCACGTTAAAACGAATTATTTTTGAACAACCAGGATAGTCAAACGATATTGGGACCAATCAAATTCAACTCTACTTTGATGTTTGGATTTGGGAAGCGAGGATGAATCATCTGAGCGCTGACGCCCCCCCCCCCCCCCCCCCC